GAGGGAGGGAGGGAGAAAGAGAGAGATAACATTTGAAAATTAAAGTTTTACATAGTTAAATTCTGATCAATTAATCCAATTTTTGTGCTGGTTTCCTTCAGACTTCTAGTTTGAAGTCTAGTAACCCACAACATAATAAAGTTGCCTTTTTAAACAACATTAAGATAGCACGCAACCTCCCCCACCTGCACCACCACCACACAGACATCATGAAAGATTAATTTTAAAAAACTTAGTAAGAAGCAGGCAAATTAGCTGCAGACCTTTTTATAAAAGCAATTATTCTGACAAACATAATTATGTAGCGCTACTTACACATGGACAAGGTTTTACTGCGTCACTTGGAAAGAAACCAAGGTCCTGGGTCATTAAATTTCTACCCTACAGAGAGACAACAGAAAAAAAAATATATATATATATATATATATATAAATGCCATCTGTATTCACAGCAATTTAAACTTGCACATTATGGTTTGCCAAATGTTGCTGAATAATTCATTCATGTTCAATACCTGCATGGATTAGAATGACTGATAGCTAATACAGAAACTCTGAAAGTTGTGGCTTTCTTAGTGTTGGGATAAAATTCCATAATTTACATTAGTTTGACATCTACTTTGGATCTATTTTTTATTAATCTCTGGCTAGGGATGAATGAATCACTTTATGTCCAGTCCATGTCACCTGTATCTCTCAAATGAAACTTCTGCTCCTTGATTCTTCTAACACTATCTCTATTCACCCACTTGAAGGCCCATTGGAAGAACCACTGTTCATATGGAAATCACTTCAGGCTTAGAAAATCCTTGAACAAGTAAAGGTACTGCAAGTCTTTTGAGTTCAAGGATGTCTTGGACTTTCAAATGTTAACAGCCCATTAGTAACAATGATTGCATTAGCTCCTCTTGTAGCTCCTCTTGTGTCATTAGTGACTGGATCAATTTCAGTATGCGATGCCAGAAGATGCAGACAGATTGCTTGGAGTGGTAAATGTCATCATTAGTTCTCTTGATTTTTGCTCAACTTGGCTCATAACTTTCAGCTGGGAGGTAATTAAAGGTAACTTAGTTAAATTCATAACATTCCTCTCTCAGGAAGACAAAATGTTTCCCTTATTTAAAGGAGGTGATTATAGGATGTCTGCTCTGGATTCCCCAGAAATAGACAATTACTGTATAGGCCAGTTCCCAACCTTCTGAGATTGCATAAAGTGATTAAGCCAGTGATGGCTTTTAATTACAAGAATTCTTGAGGAAGCAATTTTTCTTATTTCTTTCCAAGCTGGCTTCTAAGTAAGCTACAGGGTTGAGATCATTTGGGTCATCCTGATGGACAATCCCTTTTTGGGGATGAATAGAAAGAGTGCAACTCTGTTAGTTCTTCATATCTTCTCAGTGGCTTTTGATATTATTGACCACGGATTGCCTGGGGGAGCTTGGAATAGGAGGTATACTTTCAGAGGCTGCATTCCTGTCTCTCAAGCAGAGTTCAGATGTTGCTTAAGTTGCTCCTTGAAGCAAAAGCTAGTATCTCTCTCAGGTTTTCCAGATTGAGGCAAGAGTCAGGAGTCTCTCTTATCAGTTACAATGGTGTTACAAGTACTGTCTATTTTTGTGAAAGAAAATGACCTCAGAACTATGGTACACACACACTGGCAATGTCCAGATGGACCACTGTAATGTGCTCTTTGTATGGCTATTCCAGAAACTTCAATTGGTTCAGAACTCTGAAAGACTGCATTATATCTCAGCAAAGAACGGTACACTGGATTCTATTTTGTTTCTGGGCAGAATACAGAGTGCTGCTTACTGAATTTACCAGAAAAGATGTCTCTGAATTTAAGATGACCTCACATCCTCTCCCTCAAAGGTAATTAGACATTAAAATATTACCCACAGACAATCCTGGAGAATTTCCCTTCTCAACGAAGGAATGCATACAACACACTTATATACGTGTATAAATCAGAAGCCAGACACCAGAAAAGAACAGGCCAAGACAAAAAGCAAATGTCTATTAATTTAAATAATAACTAGCAAATAACATTAACACTTCTAAATATGGTACCTCATTACAACATTAATTGATCCTTATCTGCAAATATGAACCACAAGGCTCAGGATTTCATATAGGAGTGCCCACTGCCCTGCTCTTCTTCCCCAAAATGACAGACTGGACTCACTCACTTAGGAAAGGAGCAGAACCACCATAACAAGGTGTCCACTATTCCCAACTCTCACAGGCAACCCAGAAGGATCCCAGTTCCTCCATCCATGAATGGCCATATGTTTCCCAGAAGACTGCTGTCAATTACCCAGCACACATATATACATTACAGATGAACTACATGTGGCCCTATATGTAAAAAATAGCATGTGTGTGTCCATTAAGAGCAGCTCAGATCTATTCTACTTCATGATGTGTTGGTTCTACTTGGGAAAGCATTTTTAAAAAGGGCTTGTTTGATCCCAAGACAGCTCAACCACATTGTTTGGCTGAACACACAGATCATCCTTAATGAATTTAGACTTTGTTTACCATGGAAAAGTTCTCCAAAACAAGACATTGTTGGTTATACCAGTACTAGGGATTTCAAATAAGCATTAACGTTACTTTCAAAATTAATTATAGTAAAAAACAGAGGGAATGAAGAAATTTGGAGCTTTACACTGAATTTTAAGACAACTTCCAGAACTCAGAGAACAATTGCAATATTGGGCCTTTGAAGTATAGTCGGACTTTTATCACAGATGCATGCTGTTTTTTCTTTTTAATTTATATAAAGTTGAATGGTCTGTTTTTAACCCCGGGGATAAATCCCAGGGATGCCAAACAATTTAGCATAAATTGTGATGCAATTCTAACTTTGCAGGTTCTCTTTGATATTGCATAATATTCTATACACGGCCTTTTTTATGCTGATGGAGAACTTTAGAAAAGAACAAATATTCTTTATAGTGGTATCTTCTACAACCAGAAAATAAATAAAGAAGAATTGGATGAGTAATTCAGAGTATTTAGAGTGCTCTAGGTAAATTTGGATCCAACTCTTTGCTTTTATTATTCTTTGTTGTTATTTTCTACTCTCAGAAACAAATTTATTAGCATGTAAGATCTATTGTATTTAGTTAGAATTTAACACTGAAGTAACCTTCTTTAGAATTAATTGTTAATAAGTCAACTTAATATTATTTTGATTAATCAAGAGGAGCACATTGTAGAAACTGGAAAGCAGCAGGACCATATCTGATTCAGTATTTTAGTTAAATGTAGAGTATATATAGAAGGCAAAGCCTAGGAATGATACAAATAAAGATCTTTATTCAAATACAATGTTCTCTTAAAAGGTTGTGAAAGAAATGTGACTCAAAAATCTCAATGTAGATCAGCAGTCACTAGGGAAATGAGTAAAATCAAAATATACCACTCTTCAAAAAAGTCAGGAAGTCCCAATGGCTTGTGTCTCCTTCAAAATGGGGTATGTGTGTGTGTGAGCTGCTCCCTCCTGTCATCTGCAGTTTAATGAATGTAGAATTTTACATACCTTTAGCACCAAAGCTCATATTATACTGTTATCTGTGTTTTAGACTCTGCTTTTTAACCTTATCTACATAAGCTACATAAAAAGTATATGTAAGCCACTCAATTGGAGTGGCATATCAGGTAAGTAGGTAGGTAGATCATCCAGAAATAAGCAATGTTAGGCGAATTATGCAAGGAGTAAACTCAGAAAAGAAGGGTGAGGTCAGAATCCATTAGACAGAAACAATGTCACATCAAGCTGAAAAGCAGCACTGGTGATCGGGAGAAAGAGATGCAAAGACAAAGTCACATGCACACTCCCTGGCTGCCAGGGTACAGGACAGAAAGGAGGGTACAAATTAAGCTGTGAGGCAAAGGAAAAGGTGTGGACTAAGGAAAACCTAGTGAGTATTAGAAAACAACTCACTAGGAGCTGAGGAAGGAAAACAAAAGGAGAGGAACAAAAGTAACTGATTTTATAATGCTAACCAGAGGATCACTTATGCAGAATAGAAAGTGTTGCATACCCAGGAGAACAGCAACAAGTCAAACTATATATTAAGGTATTGTAGCTGTATGAAAGTGCAAACGCATTGTCAGCAGCTGACTTTCAAGATTTACTATGACTTCTGTACAGAGTTTATCCACTCTCCAGGAGAGTTAAGATTCTTTCAACTGTTTTGCACTGGTAATGGTTTACTGCATTAAATTTTGCATTAAAGATCCAGTAGAAATTGAGGCTTCTTGTATACTCTCCTTTCTCGAACCAGATAACTTGAGAAAAGCCATTGCCTAGGTCTTTTGCAGAAGCTAAAGAAATTTTAAAATTCTTCAGCTCGCCTAGTGCCCTGATACTGATAGTCTACTCTTTCTCATGCTTGAGATATAAAGATCTCAACTATCCATTATGCCCATTGTTAAGAATACTGGGAGTTGAAATCTAAATGCATGAAGAATAATCCAACTAGAAAGCACTAGATTAAGAAAGGCAAATTTAGCTAATAAAATGGTACTGTACCTGCCAAAATAAGCTATGTGCATCTCCTTTGATGAGTTCAATGATGTCTCCAATCTGGATGTTTAGTGGAGGGCCATCAGGTGGAGCTGGCTGGGGAATCCCAGTATAGTTTCTAATCACTTGCATTTTTGGTAAACCTTGAGAGAAAGGGAGAAAGTTTAGTAACCTACACCTGATAAAAAGCTACAGCAGTGTATTATCTCATATAAACCCCACTTTCCCATCACTGAATCTGTTTCCTGAATGGCAGGTCCAACCTTGGACATTCTTCCTCAAAGAAATTCACCAGTCTGATGGATTTTCTTAGGCTTCTAAAAAATTACACCATGCATTTTGAAACTTACGCTGCTCCCTTCTCTAACTCCATTGCATATTATCCTTAATGCTTTCAATAAATTAAATGGACATATATAATTGTACCTATTGTCAAGTTCTACCAGGACTATAACATAGCATACAAATGAAAAACAAAAGCAATTACTGAAATAGAAAAAGAGGGTTTGGTTTATAAATTTCAAGGGAAAAATTAATAAAAGTTTAAGTAACCTGTTCTTCCAACAAGAGGCTTGGATGAAGAGAAGTCAAAGATGTTTCAAAAGTTTATTGTACATCAGTACATGAAATACAGTGGGGCAAAAAAGTATTTAGTCAGCCACCAATTGTGCAAGTTCTCCCACTTAAAAAGATGAGAGAGGCCTGTAATTTTCATCATAGGTATACCTCAACTATGAGAGACAAAATGAGAAAAAAAATCCAGAAAATCACATTGTCTGATTTTTAAAGAATTTATTTGCAAATCATGGTGGAAAATAAGTATTTGGTCACCTACAAACAAGCAAGATGTCTGGCTCTCACAGACCTGTAACTACTTCTTTAAGAGGCTCCTCTGTCCTCCACTCGTTACCTGTAGTAATGGCACCTGTTTGACCTTGTTATCAGTATAAAAGACACCTGTCCACACCCTTAAACAGTCACACTCCAAACTCCACTATGGCCAAGATCAAAGAGCTGTTGAAGGACACTAGAAACAAAATTGTAGACCTGCACCAGGCTGGGAAAACTGAATCTGCAATAGGCAAGCAGCTTGGTGTGAAGAAATCAACTGTGGGAGCAATAATTAGAAAATGGAAGACAGAAAAGACCACTGAAGGTCTACAATTTTGTTTCTAGTGTCCTTCAACAGCTCTTTGATCTTGGCCATAGTGGAGTTTGGACTGTGACTGTTTAAGGGTGTGGACAGGTGTCTTTTATACTGATAACAAGGTCAAACAGGTGCCATTACTACAGGTAACGAGTGGAGGACAGAGGAGCCTCTTAAAGAAGTAGTTACAGGTCTGTGAGAGCCAGACATCTTGCTTGTTTGTAGGTGACCAAATACTTATTTTCCACCATGATTTGCAAATAAATTCTTTAAAAATCAGACAATGTGATTTTCTGGATTTTTTTTCTCATTTTGTCTCTCATAGTTGAGGTATACCTATGATGAAAATTACAGGCCTCTCTCATCTTTTTAAGTGGGGTGTGTTTCGTGGCGTTTTGCTGACTAAATACTTTTTTGCCCCACTGTAAGTAATAAAAGCCTAGGACATGCTTTCATACAAGCACCCTCTGCACATCTTTTACTTGCTTAAAGAAAACATTTTTCTTTTTGCTGTTGCCTAGTTCATAAAACCGCAGCATGTTTAGTTTAAATGGAAAAGAATCAATCTTTTGTCAACAGTTCAGTCTGTTTTTGAGGAGGTAGTCATTTTCATCACTATGAATGCTCATGCCTTTCTGAGAGTGGGTACATTTCTAGCTTTGTAAAAGACTGTATTTCAAGGTTATCTAATTTTAGGACAAAAAGAGGAAAACAGGCAATAGATTGATAAAATAATGCTTTAGATCCTGATATGATAAAACACATCTTTTTACTCAAATCTCACTGAAAAGAAAACATGTTTAAGATAACAGGAATCACAAAATATTCCATGTTTCTGATGTAATTGTTTGAAAAGAAAATATCAGTTTTTCCTAGGTGTTATTAGATTTTCACAGTAATTTCTCCTTTCGTTGTACATTATGAACAATTTTGATGGTCAAAAGCATCTGTTCTAATGATAAAAGAGACTCTTATCGCCTCTCAATTATTTCTGAAGTTTTAAAAAGGTAAATGAGTTGTTCTCTTAGAAAGAAAGTTATACTAATTATCTATTACTTCTTACCTAATTAAATCTTACCAACAGAAGAGAATATATGTAGCTCAGAGTTGAACTGTGGAGTCCTTGGTGTTCTTTGAGTTTGGTTGTTTTCTTGCAGACGTTTCGTTACCCAATTAGTGCTAGCACTGAAGATATTACCTAGTTGGCTAACAAGACATCTGCAAGAAAACAACCAAGCTCAGAGAACACCAAGGACTACATAATTAAATCTTGCCCAAGATACTTTTTTAAACTTTGAACAATATTCCTAATTCAATGTGAACAGTTATCTCTCCCATAGTGGAAGGTCAGAACTCTGGGCCTAAGTGTTGGAATGAATGTGTTTAGAATCCAACAGATCACTGTAAGGAATGAGCAAATGTATAGGGATGAATATTCAATATTTGTTTTCATGTGACCCCAGTTCCGAGTGTTATTACACACTGAATCTTATATTATGGCATATCATCAAATAAAGGAATTGCTGAGATTCAGCAAAGATTTTTTAAGGTGCATTATGATCATGATAGAGGATAGATTTCTTCATTTAAAAAAAAAATAATATAGGGAACTCTACAGTGTCCAAATCACATTATTTATTAGCCCATTTGCTATTCCTTAGAACTGGCCAGAACTTAAGTCTGAGCCAAACAAGTAAATTAATATGCTGGTACTTGCTTAACAAGTGAAGATTACAACCAGTGATGTAAAACAAATAAATCCTCAAATGTTTACTCTGAGTGCATGCAGGCTGTGCACAAACTCATTTGGAAGTGACTGAGGAACCCATAAAGAAGGTCTAAAAACCAAGATGACAGTAAACTTCTTGAGTCAGTTTTTAGCATATTGCTCTCAGTTTGCCCTTGTGAAGTTTAAAATAATTCACTGTTTAAAATAATTCACTGAAATTGCTGCTGTAATATGAACAATACACGATGTGACAGCTTTTACAAGACAAGCTTCTATTTGCAATGGCTTTTTACAGCATCATGTCCATCACATTACCTGAAAAATAAATGTGTTAAACCCATGGCACCTGAGTTGTTATTTTTTTTTTAATGAAAAGTCCCGCTTTTAGTTGCTTCTTTGGCTTACCAACTGGTCAGAAAATAAATGGCCCAGTAATTCTTTCGACCTTTGGGCCAACTGCTAGAATTTCTCTGTGTGTTTATATAAAACCAAAAATCTGGGCTAGTTTCCAGAAGCTTATTTATTAACTGGACTTTTTTTTTTACAGACACAAACATCTAGTGGCGGTATTTTCATTTTATGGGCATGCTTGAGCTGAGGTACTCCTGCACAAGTTGGTTCATCAAGTCTCAGCAAGCTATTTCAGGGTGTTCCTCTACTTGAGCAACATATCTGTGTTCTTCTGTCATCTGCAACTGTCTGCTCAGCTAGTTGTCTGCTCAGACAGTTGAAGAAAAAGAAGCAATGCCTCTTTCTGAGTGATAATGCACTGTCCACAGTTCAACCCAGGTATGCAAGTTTTTAAAAGCAAATCCAGCAACCTTGATACTTCCAGTATGGCACGTATGCGGGAACATTGGGATATCTGTATGTTAAGTTACCCTTTTAGATCCTGCTTCTATGAAGCCATCTGTTCAGCCTTTACTGGGAAACAACCATAAAAGGGATTGGGAATTCTGGCAGTCCCAAAACATGACAGTGAAGAATACTGCTCTAAATAAATGAACAAATATTACAAACAAACATGGAACACATTCCTACAACATACCAAAAGCTTCCATTAAAAGAAAAAGAAAAACAAACAAAGTTCAAAGGGTGATAACTTTCAGTATATCGTCCTGTGTTACATGCACATTATTCCATGTGCCAATTTGAAGTCCCAAGCACAATAGTTCCATATACCACATTCAATTTCAGCTCAGTCCATATTTATAAGGCAAATCATTACATGTTTCTCCTGGAAACCCTGTGTCCCTTTTCCAGGGGTGTCCTTATGTTAGGGCACCCCTGGAAATTGCCTATATTGATTATAGATACGTAAAAGTCTTTTTGGAGATATCATACACTATTCAAAGTCTTTAAAATGTTAAAAGGAGGCACGTACAGCAGCCTCATCCTGTTAATAAGCAGGAAGACTGTTCCCATTTAGCAGGGCGAGAATCAGAGATAACGTTAGTGTGGTATATTTAACCTAAACCTAATCCTAAGTGAAGATAGTTTCTACTAGTTTTGATTTTTTTTTTAACTAGCCCATCTAGCTATATCAAGAAAACATAACTTTGCTATATTAATTGAGCCTTATCATAAATATATAATAGTACAGTACTTAACTGGAAAGAGCCTACAACCATGGATTATTGACTACAGTCCTCTTCTTAAGTACTTATCTACTAAGAAACAGGAAGCCCACAATATCCACTTAGTGAATCATTCATGAGGCCAGGGGTAAGAACGTTTTTGGGCCAGGGGAAGCTTGACTATTCACAAAATAGCTGCCAGAGTGGGCCCTGCCAGGTGTAAAATACTCATTCACCCCAAGGTGAACTAGCTACTCAAAATGCTCTCTATTATTCCAGTGGGATTTATTTATTTATTCGTTCATTTAATTTATAGGCTGCCCATCTCATATTGATCACTCTGGGCGGCTCACAATTAAAACTGAATAAAAACAGTAAAAAACAACCAAAGTTAACAACAAGAAAAATAACATAAAAATAACCCAGAAGACTCACAACTACTCAATCTAGCCACGACATGATCTCACTCATGCTATCAGGATCCCAGGCTTGATGGCAAAGCCAGGTTTTTAGGGCCTTATGAAAGCCCAGCAGGGTTGGGGCAAGTCTATTTTCTGGGGAATGATCTTTCAGAGGGTGGGCACCATGGCAGAAAAGGCTCTCCTCCTGGGTCCCAACAGATGACACTCTCTTGCAGACAGGACCCAAAGCTTGCCTCTCCTGCCAGATCTCACAAGATGAGTGGACACC